GGGTGGATGGATCCCGTGGGGGGTTGTTTTTTTTTTTTTTTAGTAGAGCTGGAGCTGGAGCTTCATCCTCAGTGCCTGGCCCAGCTCCCCCGCCAAGTAGTCGAGGTGGTTCTTGGCCTCGAGTTTCTGCAGTTCCCGCCTGCGGTACAAGGGCACGCTCACGATCTCCAGCAGGTACGTGCCGGGCAGGATTTTCTTGCGGCCCAGGTGGAGGAAGCTGAGCCCTTCCTTCTGGTGGATGCGGAAATAGCCCTCCTCGTTGCCCTGGGAGATGAGGTACCGCACCCGGTTCTCCAGGGGCTCCACGGCCGGCAGGAGCTCCAGGATGTGCTCCTTGCGCGCCAGGTCCGAGAGGTTCAGGGTCATGGACAGCGGGGCCTCCACGTCCATGCTGGCCAAGTTCACGCCGTGGTCCTGCCAAGGAAGGGGGTGTGTCACTCACAGACCCCCTCAACACCTCAGGGTCGGGTGGAGGAGGGTGTGATTTCGGGGAATTCTGCCCCAAACCAGCTCTGAGAAGTAACAGCGACTTCCATACGTTCAGCCATTGGAATAGGCTGCCCAGGGAATTGGGGGATTCTCCATCCCTGGAGGTTTTTAAGATGAGACTGGATGTGGCATCAGTGCCATGGGCTGGGAACCACAGCGGGGTTGGATCAAGGGTTGGACTTGATGATCTCAGAGGTCCCTTCCAACCCAGCTGATTCTATGATTCCATGGTCCTTAATTTCCTACAGGTGTTTCTTGGTGCCCTGGTTGTGTCTGACACTGAACCAGCCACCACACAGCCCTAAGCTGCAGAGGCAGGACCAGGAATTTCAGAGCCTAAAATGACCTCCCAGTCCAACCTGACAGGGCTGTAAAATTCTTGGGGGAGCCTCAGACAGAGGTCAGAACTTCCTGCGGAGGAATAACCTGTGACAGGTCCAGCCTGGAGTCAGACAGTGAGTGCTGAGAGCCCTCTGTGACCCTGTGGGAACTTCTCCCCCATCACCTCCCCTCACTCAGAAACATGGAGTGGTTTGTGAGGGACCTCAAAGCTCATCTCATTCCACCCCCCTGCCACGGCCAGAGACACCTTCCACCGTCCCAGGTTGCTCCAAGCCCCGTCCAACCTGGCCTTGGACATTCCCAGGGATGGGAAACACCTGCTTTATCTCTTGGCTTCACGTATCTCCAGACATCTGTGGTCAAACCACACAAGTGTGTGTGTCACCTCAGGGTGTCCCAACCTCCAAAGATCCCCAATTCCCACAGGACTTGTGGACTCAGGGCCGACCCCAAACACCCCAGGCAGGTGTGGGGTGAGCTGCTCTGGCTGGACTGAGGCAGGACCCACTATTGCCCAAGTGACCCAGGTCTTGCCTTGCCCCCCAGCCCACCCAGGGTGCCGTGGATGTCCCACCTGGTGCCTCTCAGTGCCGTTGAGGCTGCGGCGCTGCCGGCCCCTCTTGGGGTAGCCGTTGATCTTGCACTCGTAGCAGGTCTCGGGGGAGAGCAGGTTGTCCTCATCCTCTTCCTGGGGGGCAGGCAGGTAGGGACCTTTCCCAAAGCCCAAGCCAGAGATGCAGTGTCTGGGGGCAGAAGAGCAGAGAGACCCAGCTCAGAGCCGTGATCCAAACAGAAGTGTCACCACTGCCCTTGGAGGTTGTCCCAGAGGACTTGTGTTCCAGTCCCTTCCCCAGCCTCGTTGCTCTCCTCTGGACCTGCTCCAGCCCCTCCATGTCCTTCCTGAACTCAGGGGCCCAGAACTGGACACAGCACTCCAGGGGTGGCCTCACCAGCGCTGAGTCCAGGGCAAGAATCACTTCCTTGGACCTGTTGGCCACACTGTTCCTGAGCCAGGCCAGGATCCATTGACCTTCTTGGCCACCTGGGCACACTCTGGCTCCTGTTCAGCTCCCCGTCCATCCCCACTCCCAGCTCCCTTCCTGCCTGGCTGCTCTCCAGCCCCTCTGTCCCCAGCCTGTGGCCCTGCAGGGGGTTGTTGTGGCCACAGTGCAGGACCCGGCCCTTGGCCTGGTTGAACCTCATCCCCTTGGAATCAGCCCATGGATCCAACCTGTCCAGGTCCCTCTGTAGAGCCCTCCTGCCTTCCAGCTGCCTCGATTGTTTTGGAATAGCGTCTGGGAAGATGCCAGTGTCTCCCTTACCCTTGTCCCGCTCGGAAGTAGCCCCCGGGGCAGCCGCACAGGTACCCCCCGTCCGTGTTGGAGCAGCCGTAGCTGCAGGGGCTGCCCCCGGCCGAGCACTCGTCCACGTCCTGGCAGCCCCCAAAAGCCTGGTCGAAGTCAAAGCCCGAGGGACACACGCACTTGAAGCTGCCCAGGGTGTTGTAGCAGGAGGCAGAGCCGCAGGCGGTGGGGCTGGAACACTCGTTCTCGTCTGCGGGGGCGGCACAAAGGGGCACACGCTCAGGGAAGGGCGGGACGCGGTGCTCCCACCCCGCCCGCAATTCCCAGCAGGCTCCCGGAGATCCCAAAAGGCTGCTGGAGGGGGGTGGTATCCTGCTGCTGGTGGCAGAGCAGCTTCCTGGCATTCCCTGTTCCTGAGAGAAGCCGGGGTAGGGCAGAGGGTCCATCCCTGGGTAATGTCCCGGTTTGTCTTTGGGGCGGGGCAGGAATATCAATGGGATAGTGGGGATAAACCCAAACCCAGTGTCAGAGGGGGCTGAGGGGGGTGGAGAGGGACTGGGGGCTCGGCTGCCCT